TCTTTACATTAATTTATGTTTTTTTACCTAAATGACATCATCTTCAATCTGTTTTTATTTTCACATCTCCCAGGTCTACATAACTGCTCCGTTTGTCACTTTTTGCGATCATTGTGTTGCATAAGCAAAAAAAAAAATAATTTTTATAAAATATTTAAAACACTTAAACTAAAAAGATATCGTTTACTAAAATATCGAATACTAAAAGATATCGAATACTAAAAGATATCGAATACTAAAAGATATACTTATTGAATACTAAAAGATATCGTTTTGAGAAATGCAAAACAATCACTTATGTTACATTAAACAAAGTTTTAATTTTCAAATCCATGTTTTGCTTGATTCCTTAATTGATATAAAAAAAATGTGCAAACGCATTATTGATAATTTTAAACTTATTTAAAAATAATTTCTTCATTGCAATGATTTTGCAAATGATTGGAAAAGCTACAAGAAAAATAAATAAAAAGATTAAATTATAAAAAAAAAAAAATAGATTTGGAAGAAAACATATTCTTAGTTATGTACAACAATTTCAAATAAAAATAAAATAAGAACTTCAATCTTTGAAGTCAACAATGTTAAAGAAAAAAAATTTCATATTTTATATCTCTGCTCATTAAATCATTAATGATTGAATAATTTCATATTTTATATCTATGCTCATTAAATCATCAATGATTGAATAATTTCATATTTTATATCTCTGCTCATTAAATCATTAATGATTGAATAAATAAATAATCATTAATATAATGTACGCAGATTTAAGTACTAAATTACAGATTTAAGTTTATTTCACTATTTAAGTATTAACTTAATGCTAAGATAACTGTTTTATGAAACATTAATATAAAAAATACTGATGTTACATAAAACCAGATTTTTAATAATTTTTTAAAAATCTTATTATAGAAAAATTAGTAATTTAAATTTTTCTTTAAATAGAGTTTATATCATATATAATATTTGTTAACAAAGTGAATTGAGGTAGCATATTGTAAACAGTAAAACTATTTTAATTGCATTTTTAAAATTCAAATGATTTTAGGAAATTTTAGTTACATCCGGATTATAGTCAAACCTTGTTTTTTTCAATCAGTTGACTGGCAAAAATTCATATTGGGGAGTCAAACTAGAAAATAGTCATTTCGGGCAGTTGTTGACTGTTGACTGGCCGTTATTTTCCACACTGATAAACATGCACACACACACTTAGGGCTCCAAGTATATCTGATCCACCATGTTTTACAAACTATATAAAAAAAATACTTGTCTATGATTTTTAAGTGTCAACAACATTATTAAACATAGCATTCAATTAGGATAGGCTTTCATACTTTCAAAAAGAAACAGAACTTTGACCTTTTCAAGATTAAGGTAATCTTTAAATTAATGCAGGCCATCAGAGACAATCCAAGAGAGCAAAAGAAAACAGAAAGTAAATCTTGGCTTAAAAATATAAAATAGTCAATTGATATTTTTAGCACACATTATTAGTCAATCATGTAATGATTTACTGCTAAAGTAATATAAAATTGATGACGAAATCACAGATATCTGTTTTATTACTTAAAATAATTCATAGCTATGTATAAGCATTATGATATTGATAAATATCTTGATGATTACTTTTTCAGCATGATAACGTCCATGACAAGTTTCAAGCAAAAGTAATCTTAACCTCCACTTATCTTTTATTTATTTCTTATAAAATGTAATTTATTTCTTATAAAATATAATATATTTCTTATAAAATATAACATATAATTTATTTCTTATAAAGTACAATATAACTTATTTCTTATAAAATATATTATAGTTTATTTCTTATAAAACATAATTTATTTCTTATAAAATATAATTTATTTCTTATAAAATATAATTTATTTATTATAAAATATAACTTATTTCTTATAAAATATAATATATTTATTATAAAATATATTATAATTTATTTATTATAAAATAAAATATGTGGACAATCTCTAAGTTTGAAAAACTTGAAAAAACAAATCTATAAAAATCAAATTAAGTCTGAAAATGTTTCATTGGGGTTGGTGATTACCAACTCTGTAATTAAACATAATCAAATCCAGTTTTATAGTTCTTACTAATCTTTTCATCTATCAATCTTACTTAGAGATATGCCGGGTACCGGGTTCGGATCTGGGGACTTGGTAATTTTACAGTTTTACCCGGAATTGGCTATTTTGTTGATGTACCCAGCACCGGGCATCTTGAAAAATATTACAGACATAACCTTTAGACAGACATAACCATTATACAGACCTTTAATAAGTAATAGTAATAAAATAATAATAACTAATAAATAATAAAAATAGTAAAACAAATTTTACTTAAGTGTTACTACTTTTTACTTTAAATTGTGTTGAAATATTATTAACCAGATAAAAAGTAGTGCTCCAACCAACAAATTTTTTTAATAGTTTCTGAAGTTGATAATTCCTATGTACTAAATCTAGACGTATCTAACTTAAATTACATTTTCGAATATTTTTTTGCTATATTATATTGCAAAACATTCATAGCAGATAATATTGAAAAAAGGAAACTGATTTGTACAGATCTAAAAACTGTAAGGTAAAATGAAATAATATGAGAATACGAAAGAAATAAAAAGTGAGAAAAAAAAACAAGTAATTGCTTCTTTTTATTGCTTAGAACCCGAGAGAAATATACATTTTTTGCAATTTTAATTATGAAAAATGAATGAAAGTTTAATACTTTGCATAGATCATTTTTAAATAAGGTTTTTGCAACAATAAATAAACGTTTAAACCAACAAACTTTTAACCATCTTAGACGATTTTCAACTGAATTTTTTTTCCCATGAAGTTTGGGAAGTTAGACAAAAAATTGATAGTTTTGGCAGGGCCGACAACACAGTTTTTAAATTGTGGGGCACACTACCTCATTTCGAAAAAAATTCTTCAACTTCTTATAAAAATCGCCAACTTCTTAAAAGAAAGAAAGTCCACACAAACAAAAGTAGAGGGAGGAGCGTGCCCCCTCAGAAATGAGAGGGGGTGCGCTTTTTCTTGTTTCTGAGGCAAGCAATTTACCACTGAGCCACAACTGCTAAAAACAAAGAAATATTGCAAAGTTTTAGGAAGTTCTTAATTATTAGCCGCTTTTAAAAATCTAAATTCTGTTCAAATGAAGTTTTCAATCAATTATTGTTGGAAAAATTATTTACTTTTTAACGTCTATCTTTTACTTCTCTACTTTTTATTCGTCTACTTTTTAATTATTTTGAACACTGAAAATGTTTTTCATTTGTCACAAACAAATAATCATAAAAGAAATTAAAATGAAATACAGGAAAAAAGTGTTGTCTAAATTATTTTTTATTATTATTTTTTTTTATTGTAATTTTTTTTAATGGACTTGGTGCCGGGTACCTGGTCTCAAACCCTGTTTTTGCTACCAGGTACCTGGAATCGGGGACCCAACATATATTGGTTCCGGCACACCTCTAATCTTACCATGTATATATAAAATTTATGTATATGCATAATATTAATTATTAACGCATAATACCATATATATACACATAACATTGAAGAAATACTACCTTCAATGTTATTTTCAACATCAGAATTGAAAATCTTTTTAATAAACTTTTCCTGCAACAAATTATCAACAATGTTTGAACTTGAGCCATTGGATGTTATGTTATCTATTTCCACAATATGAGGCTACATATAAAAAAGAGAGAACAACAATAAATTAGTAATATTCAATTATACATGTACATATTGTAGTATTATATATATATATATATATATTATATATATATATATATATATATATATATATGTAATACAAGTATCTTTAAAAATCATATATGTAACATAATAACGTAATATAATTTTTTTATAAGTAATATTAACATACATGTTATTATATATGTATTTTTAATATTACATATGCATTATAAAACTAATATATCACAATGTTATATTTTTTATTTTCTAATTATATATATTATATATCTCTGTGGTTAAGACAAGTTACCTAAAAAAAGATACAAAACCCTAATTTAAATTTGGGTAAGGGTAGAAAAAAATTTAAAAAATTTGGATAAAAATTTAGTTAAATCAAAAGCAAATGTTTTCATTTAAACTTATCCATTAAACAAACTTATTACAAAGTCATCGACAAACTAATCCAAATAATTACTTATCCAAACCATCAACTTGCCATCCATTTCAACTAGCAGTCAGATTTTTAATAATAAAATAATAATAAGTTATTACAAAAAAGTTTTCTATTAACCTGTGAATATAATGATGTTTTGTTTACTTTAGCCATATATACAATTCCCATCATAAGATCAGACAATAACAGAGTGCCACGCTCTTTAACATTATCATCTACATCATAACCTACAACAAAATAAGCATTTTATTTAAAAACTCTTGAACTTAAAAAAAAAATGAAATAAAAATTATAAGACTTGAGGCAGTTTTAAATCTAGAAGTTTTTTTAAGGTTAACATCAAATGGGAAGGGGAAAGAAAAATAAAATATTGGTTTCTATATTTTCTTTTTAAATAGTATTTGTTTATAAAATATTTGTTTTTGTAATTGTGAAAACTTGAAATTAGATTTAAATTAAAAAAAATTTTAAACTTTTTAAAAATTAAATAATAAAAAATCGAAAAAAAATAGTAATGTTAGTTACCAAAAATTTTTTTAAGAAAAAAAAACTTAAAAAAAAATTTTTTTTAAAAAACATTTTAAATATTTAGCAATTATTTAGAAAAAAAATTATTAACTGAAATGATAAAGCAGTAGAACAATAAGAATATTTTACCATAAAATTTGCATGGAGTGGCAAGAGGAGGTAGTATCCATGCATCATCAAATGCTGTCCTAAAATCTTCCAAAGCAATAACACTTGTGTTTCCATAATCACACCAAAAAACTTTTATTTCCATCAGTTCTAAGTTTGTGTTCAGTATCCAACATCTAAAAATCAAAATCAAAAACTGAAACCAAAAGTTTATAGGGTGTAAATTGTAGGGTGCAAAGTGTAGAGTGTGCGATGTAAAATGTAGATTGTAGGGTGTAAAGTGTAGATTGAGGGGTGTAAGATGTAAAAGATTAAAATCTAAAGTGGTATAATGGATATGTATTAGATTTTTTTAAAGTAGAAAACTGATAAAATATGTAGCACACCACGATATACTAGGGCAATAAGAGCACAAAAACTCACAAAATGTGTCAACGTTCAGTGTTGTTAAAGCAAAAACTTTTGCTAAGTAACTGAAAACAATTGTAGCTTAATTGCGTCAAAAAAATTGTTTCTATCATTCAATAACTATTTAAAATTGTTTTTTTTTTTTATAAATACATTTTCAAAAAAAAAAAAAAAATGGCGATAATTGTAAAGAAAATTGTTTTGAATTTTTTTAGGGATTGAGACAGAAAAAAATTTAAAAATTAAAGATAAATAGATACTACATTTGAATAACATTTGAATTTTCTCGGTCAATGGAAGCAGTATGTAGAATTTTCCCATTATCAATTACAAATTAAACTGATATATAAACCGGTTCATTTTGTCACCATTGCTTGTTATACTCTTCAAAACAAATTTTAGATTTTTTGCATATATAACTTTGTCAAAGATGTTTTATGAAACTAGACAGGTTATTATTTGCAGTTAAGTTTATGGCATTTTCAACTGCATACAAAATATTAGGATTAGCTAACTTCAAGTTTTCTTATATTATATATGAATAAATATCAATATTTTTCATGTTTTAACTATATAAAAAAATGAATTTCATTTACAAAATCTTATAAATAGGTGTTTTAAGAGGTATAAATATTAAAACAAGTTTGTAACACTAATCTAGTCTTGCTAATCAAATTCTTTTTGCCATCAGTACACAAGATTGCCTACCTAAAGTGTGCTTTGAAAAAAACAAATCACTGGACCAGCCTATAGTAGACTTCATAATTATTTTATCTCAAAGCTAGACTTGGCCACAGCTGTTACATTCAATGTAAAAGCAAGCGTGATGTCATGAGTTGATCACAAAAAAAAAGTTTTTGCACATAAAAAGTATAAAAATTCACTTAAAGATAATAATAATTTTTTTCTATAAACGCTTTCATCTTCAAAAAAAATTAAAATAAATAAAAGATCTATCTTTCCTTAATAATTAAATATTTATGTTATATGGAATATAAATATATAGACATTTAAAATAATAGACATTTTTAATAACTTATAAGCATTTTTCTGTTTTTATTTGACCTAATTATTACATAACTAGAATCATATCTATTCATATATATAAAATAAAATGTAATAAAATGCATATAATGTTTTTTAGTCACACAAAATCAGATGCATCATTTAACTTGTAAAAATTTTTGTTAGAGACCAGGCAGACATCTGCGGATTATAAACCAAAAATTTATATCAATAATACACATATTGAACAATGTATTTCAAGTTGCAAATTACTGGATTGCTTTGGACTGCAAAAGTATTCAACTATATAAGTAAAATTTTAACTAAAAAAAGTACTTCAAATAGGCCGTCATTTAAAATCATTTTATTTGACTTAAATGCTAAATAGTATTGTAATAGCTCATCACGGAAAAAAACACAAAAAACAAACAGTTCTATTTGTGTTAATAAGTTTTAGGTAATAATAATATATAATAGATCACGACCGGGAGATAATCCACTGCAAAAAAGGTGGTAGCTCTCCTTACAAGAAGTGGTCCTTTCCCATAAAAAATACATCAAAGAAGAAAGCCAAAGAATGTCAGTTACCAAAAAATTAGATAACAATGGTTTGTGTCCTGCCTGCAAAAATACATCATCAGTAACAGAAAATGTTCAATGTTTTGTATGCAAATCCAAGTTTCATGTTGTTTGCCCATCTATTCCAAAAGAAGATAAAGTAGCCAGCAAAACCACAGTTTCAAATTTCCTTCTCCCTTCAACTAAGAAAAATTTTCTGTTCTTTTGTGATGTATGTCTAACCAACCTAGAAATAAATTTATCTAAATCTGAAACATTGAGACTGAACACTCTAGAATGTAATGTTACTGATATCAAAACTTAGCTCAATGAAATAAAACAACTGTTAAACAAAAACTCAAGTGACACCAAATTGAAAAAAGATAATTTATGGCTTGACAAGGTAAGATTAAATACAGTAAAAACTCCAATGCCAGACTCTCTTTTAGTTATTAGAAAAATATCTGATGAAAAAACTAACAAAAATAACATGGATATAATTGTAAACATAGTTATGAATAATAATATTCAATTGAAAAATTTGTATCATAATAAATCAGGGGATCTTGTCCTAGTATGTAACTCAAAAGAATCTAAAGACCAATCAGTGGTTTACCTAGAAAGTATAATAAAAATGAAGTTGTTAATATGCTACACTCACAGAACAGTTTTATCCAAGAATTTAGCAAAGTGAACAACATCAAAGATCATTTTAATATAGAGGCTATCAAACGGATAAAAAAACAAACCAACAATTTTTCAAGTCTTTGCGAAAATAAGCAAAATATTACAAGAAGGCTTTCAATGTTATAAAAACAAAGTTTTTATAACATTGAAACACACTTGGATTAACATCCTGCAGGATATATGACAAACTCAATGTAATGTGTTGTTTTAACTGTCAAAGCTTCAGACATTATGCAAATGAATGCAAGAAAAACGATCCGACATGTGCTAAATGTAGCAAAAAATATCGAACCAATCTATGCTTGTCTTTGGATAAAAAATGTGTTAACTGTGTTTTAGAGGAACAAAACGATCACTTTCACTGTGCATTTGATATTAAATGTCCTTCTCTTGAAAGAGAAAAGAATATTTTGAAAGAGAAACTTAATAGCAATCATTTAAATGCCAAGTTCAGAAGGATGATAGAACTTACATGAGTCATATATTATGCTCACTATGGAATGTTTGTTCTCTTATTAATAAACTTCCAGATGTAATGGAGCATATACTTGATAGGAATCCAGACATAGTTTTTATTACTGAAACATGGGACTTCTGAAAACAATAATACAACAGCAATGATAAAAAGCTATGGATATGTTTTGCGTCATAAAATAAGAAAAGAAAGAGATAAAGTAATAGGTGGCGGTGTAGGAATTATGCTAAAACAATCAATTATGCACAAACAACTACCGAATAAACAGTTTCAATCCTTTGAACATGTATGTGTTAAAATTATGGTAGCGAAACAATCACTAATTCTAATTTGCATATATAGAATAATATTTGTTTCTCACACAACATTCCTGGACAAATTCATGGTTTTACTTAAAACAATAGTATCAACAGGTTGCACATACATTATAGCTGGTGATGTAAATATACACTTAGATACTAAAGGACTATATAGCAAAAGTTTTAAGGAATTACTAGATGCACTTAATCTTACACAAAATGTCAAAGAACCGACTCATAAAATGGGACACATATTAGATGTAGTAATTAATAAGCCAGATGAAATATCAGTTGATATGCTAGCTGTGACAGACTTAGATTTGAGTGATTATTTTCTCATTGATTTTAAATTAGAACAAAAAATAGAAAAAAACATATACCACACTATCACATATAGGAATTTAAAAACAGTAAACATGAAGTCTTTCAACAATGAAATATTAAGAAATAAATGAAAAACCTCATCCGCTGAAAATATGAAAGAGAAAATAACAATATATAATCAAGTAGTTAAAGAAATTACACAGAAACATGCTCCTTTGAAAACTAAAATAGTAAAAATAGTGAATACAGCTCCTTGGTTTGATGGGGAATATATTCAACTAAGGCAAAAACGAAGAAAAGTAGAAAAATTATTTAAGAGAACCAAAATTGAAAATGACAAAAAAGAATATATACACCTCAGAAAAAAAGCAACAATTACTGCTTATATATAAAAAAAAACAACGTATCTCTCTAACCTATTATATAAAAACATTTCAAGTAAAAATCTATTCTCAATGGTAAACAAGCTACTAGATAAAACTCAGGAACATGTACTACCATCAGCGAATTCAGATGAAGAACTGGCTAACAACTTCAACATTTATTTTACTGAAATAATCAGAAAACTCAGATCAAATCTTCTAACACCCCCAATCAAGGGGGTGAAATGAAATGAAATGAAATGAAAAGCGCATAAGATTATAATGGTCAGTTTTTAAGAAATTTTGATCCAACAACTTACAAAGAAATTTACAATATAGTCATGTCATTTGGAATGAAATCTTCTCCAGATGATCCCATTCCAGCATATCTACTAAAGAATAATTTACAAACATTTATACATATATGGGTGGAAATAGTAAACCTATCACTAGAATTAAGCAGCATGGATTGTCTAAAAAGTGCTACATTACTTCCAATAATGAAGAAGTTAGACTCTGCCACCACAGATACAGAAAACTTCAAAAATTATAGACCAGTTTCCAATTTAGTATTCATTAGCAAGCTAATAGAAAGAGTAGTTTCCAATGGTCTAGATTTCCACATGACAACAAACAGTCTTCATATAGAATATCAATATGGATACAAAAAACATCATTCCACTGAAACACTTTTGCTGAAGCTTACCAATGATATATTTGAACTCTTTGATAAGAATACACCTTCAGTACTTATTTTACTTGATCTAAGTGCTGCTTTTGACACTATCGATCAACAAAAACTACTTGGGCTATTAACTAGTGAAATAGGCATAATGGACTCACAAGTGGTTTGAATCATTTTTAGTTAATCGTACCCAAAATGTTAAAATCGGTAACTCATACTCTACAAACCAAAATGTCAAATATGGAGCACCACAAGATACAGTGCTGGGTCCAAAACTATTTAATATCTATATGAGACCACTGTACAAACATCTGAACATAATCAATGTTAAACTTTTGGATACTCAGATGATCATCAAATTCTCAAAGCATTC